TTTATCAGGAATCCGTTCCCTTCCACCAGGAGCATGGAGCAAAGTGGAAAACAGGACAGAAAAATAAACTCTCCGTAGGCAAGACTCCTAAATGCTAAATGTGAGAACATCGGAAGACCTCAGAAGCAAAGAAACTAAGAAAGTAGGATATGTTTCTATGTTTCTGTGAAATAATTATTGTCGAAGGTGTCAGTCTTTTCTGGATCAGGAAAAGCGTGGGTTGAGAGTCAGCGGTGCATTTTCACAGGTCAGTGGTGATTCATGTGTACACACTGATATGGGTTTCATGTCCGTGTTATGACATAGTTAATTAAATTTGTATCTGGCTGATTAGGTAACACACGCTATCTTCTCCTCAAGCAAAAAGGCCCCACACGTGGAACGGCGGAGTGCACCCGTATTTGTACACAATCCATTTACACGTGTCCAAGTCACGCAAAATAATTCTAAGCAGTAAGTTTGTCAAAATTCTCCTTAGTTATGCGTAGCTGGATACAACGTGAAGTTTATGTCTGATGTTGCTGCCTGCTTCCATATTTCATTTCTGATACTCAAATATCTGCCTACCTTTGACAGGAAAATGAATAATTTATCACAGGATGCTACTCACGTAAAAGCAGAATAGTTCACGCAACTTGAATCAAGAGTGCTGCAGTCTAAACATGTACACTTACAACCCTACGGCTGGCCTTACACAACCTTTATTTCACTTTACAGGAGCAGTGGAACAGCCTCTATTTTTGCTGAAGGTTTAAGCTGTGGAATCAGCGAGGGCAGGTTCTTGGCAAGGCCGAGCGCTGATCCAGCACCCCTTCGATAGGGCTCAGCTTCGGAAAGCACCGAGCCTCCCTGCAAGTGAATCTCGCATCTCGATGATCAGTAATTTGAATATTCAGCTTAGCTGTACCCAACGAGGGATCCACGGTGAGATGAAAACTCCTGTGCAAGACACACCACCTGGCATTGCTAAGGTCGCTACTCAGCCCCACGTGAGCTCTCCCCTCCCGGACACACACTTGAGCATCATCGACTTGCTTTAGGCATCTTTAGAAACCTGTACGGCATGAACTTGCAGGTTTGTAACAAGAAGGATAGTACCTTTTCTAATTTGTAACAGATGGTATCTAGGCAAAAACTCCATCCTGACAATTCCTTCAGCTCCCAACACCAATAACTTCATAAACTTCGAGTACGCACAATCAATGCTGAAAGTAGGAATTGAGCTAGGGTGACAGAATAGAGGGCCTAAAAAGGAAAAAAATCTCTTCTTAACTGTACTGTCTCCACACAGACACTGGGGCATTAAACAGGTTATGTATTTAATAAAAACTACAGAGCTCTGAGTAATTATTTATCGGTTATTCTAATCACTAATCTGCAACTGGAACTATAGAACTCGACTTTATAATGATTTGCTCCATGTTTCAAATTATGTTTGGCAGATTTCAGTACATATTTCTATTCAATTCAGATTATCTAAATGCTATTTCCATTTTCTTTCCAGACCTTGCTCACAATTCTCCTCCAGCATGGACTTGCTTGATAAATTTGGTCAGTGATTGATAAGCAATAGTAGGTTATTACCTCATTATTACCACTAAGTGGTATTTATTTGTAACAGACCAGTCTGTAGAATTTTTTAATATCCTGGGGTTGTGAATTACATAAAAGGAATCATTTTGCATCCAATAAGAATACCAAAATAATCCAACATAATGTGTGAAAAAGAAGAATTTACACCTGTACATTACACGGAGGTCAAACAGTTTTTATTTACTATGAAAGAAACACAGAAGGAGATTAGAAGACAGAACGATGACAAATATTTACCAATGCTGAAATGAAACAAGAGAAATAATTTTTTTTTCCATTTTTTGTTGCAGACAAGGTAGTCTTGAAGCACAGATAGCCGTTTTAATGCAGGACCAAGTAAAACGAACACTGTTCATAAAGGAAGAGTAAAAATGTGTTAGAATGCAAATTTAATACATTTTCCTTTTACATCAGTGATCTAAAAAAAATAAGACAACTGACGCACATTTCCAGAATCCTCCTCCTTTTTTTTTTTTCCACCACTAAGAAGAAGGAAAAGTAACGCTAAATGAATTTCTTCCCTCACACGGGAAAGCTGATGCAGGTAATTTCCCATGAGGTATGTCCAGAGGTGGGGGGCTCAGTGTAGTCTGCTACTGATGTAATAGTTTTCTCACAGCTTTGCTAGATACCTCAGAAGAAATACTTTTGTGTTTTATTTGGTTGACCTCTGGCATTTAGTTGGATGATGGTCAGATTTTTTTTTTGTAAGCGTACTCGGGCTAAATTTGGTATGTTCAAATAGGACTAATCTTTCGTTGTTTTAAAGTCACACCTGGACAAACGGAAGCTTCACAGACTGAAAACAGTCGCTCTATACAGAAATAGGTACGCCATTAGTCTTGTTCGACAAAGGTCTGTACCATTACACACAATAATATTTCTATTCTTTCCCATTAAGAGTTCATAGAAAGCTGTCTTTTACAGATTATCGAACATTTTAATGTGCTTAAAATTGCTCAGAAAATAATATGTCCTGAAGCCTGCTGAAAACTTTACAATTTTGTTTAAAAGGATACTTTTTCCTTGCATCTACTCCTGGATGTGAACAGCAGCGGGTAAATGTAAAACATTTCTTTCCCCCCAAGCCCACCAGAGGTGAAGACCCAGGCGAAGGCTGGAGCAGGCGGATGAACGCATCAATTTAGAAGAGCCCCTCAGCAAGGAGGCTGTCCACAGATGTTTGGGATTCAAAAGCTGCTACCGCAACACAGAACAGAAGGAAGAAGAGGTAACAGCGATAGCATTTGCCCTGAATCCTTCTCTGGCTGCAGAAGATGTCACGGCCCAGTATGGTATCGCCTGCACCACTCCTGGCCGAGCGCTGGTAAATCTGAACTTTGACAGTCTTATTTTTTCACTTATCTACATGGTTATATTTTTTTTTTTTTGATTGGGAGGTATAAAATTATGTCTCCTTGGGTTGTCACGTTTTTTGCACCCTGGAGGAATTCAGTACAAAAAAAGAAAACTACACCGCTCTGAGAGCCTTCCCATCTACAGCAGGTAGCTCAGCACTGCAAGTCACCCAGCAATGAGTTCAGGAGAAAAACAGAGGATAGAACATTCTTGTTTACTCAGATGAAATATTTATTCTCTGTACAACTCATATTGAGTATTAAAATCCCCTCAAAAGAGAAAAATAAAACAATTTAATGGTAGGATTCCTTAGCATTCGTGGAGAACTGGTATGTGACGGTCACAGCAGTTTGCTCAGGCCACCGGACTGCCCATCAGCCTTTCTTGCCGAAGAGCAATCAGCCTCTGAAACCACTTCTCGTCTGCTTCTGCCTTCTCGATAAAGAGCTGAGAGACACGGGGGAGAGGAAGAGAAGTAGGCATAACTCATTAACTGTATTTATTACAATATGTGGAAATACATGTCAAGCGATAGGACGAGAGGAAATGGCCTCAAGTTGTGCCAGGGGAGGTTTAGATGGGATATTAGGAAAAAAGTTTTCACCGAAAGGGTTGTCAGGCACTGGACCAGGCTGCCCAGGGAGGTGGTGGAGTCCCCATCCCTGGAGGGATTTAAAAGATGTGTAGGTGTGGTGCTTAGGGACAGGGTTTAGTGGTGGGCTTGGCCGTGCTGGGTTTATGGTTGGACTCGATGATCTTAAAGGTCTTTTCCAACCTAAACAATTCTGTGATTCTCTGATTCTATCACTATTTCAGTGCCCAGCGAAAAAGCCCAGCTGCATAGGGGTGTTAAAATACAAAAGTGATAAAAATACATGAGTGAAGGTAGAGACTTTGAATAACCGGAAAGCCAAGACATTCCAATTTTAGTCTCCTCCTGAAACAGCAAGTCTGTCATATTGTACTGGTCTTGATCTTTGTTAGCTATGTTCATTATACAGAACTCACATTAGTTTATTTACAGCAAGTCATTTTTAACTTGCCAATACTTAAAAAAACTCTACGGTAAGTACTCCTATTTCCAATTACAAATGCTCACAAAGGAATTTGCATAAGTTTAGCCACAATGATTTAAAATTATTTTAAGTTTGTCATGTATTTAAAGATTTATGATTTGGCAAGGTGAGCAAGTTCTGAGTCTTCCACCAGGTTTTCAACTACAGAAACCAAAAGCAATTTTTCCTGAATTTTTATTGAACAGGAATTTTTATATGAACAGGAGCTTAAATTCTCCTGCATTCGATTAGTATGCTACTTTTGCAAGAAGTGTGATCCTTTTTGAGCCAACGAGCGGCCCATTAGCTAACAGTCTTCAAACCACAGATTATTTGGTAAGCAGCACAGCAAAACGGTTGTTAGGTCATGTGAACCTGCTTGCATTCAATGGGCTGTCTTGTTCTAAAGATGAAGTAGATATCGGCACACTTACATTTGGATGTGCTAAAGAATTATCATCTTGATATTTGATGGCAGTAGGAATATTGGCAGGCGGTGGTTCTTTTTCAGGAGCAGATGCATCAACAGTTCCCACTCCTATAGTTACAGGTTCGTACTGTAGTTCTGTAGGCTCTGTTGACTACAAAGAAAGAAACACGTCTGAGTACTTCATCCTCAAACTCCCAAACGTGGCAGTATCTTAACTGAGCACTTGGTTTTCTTTCCATTGCAACATGTGCCCACAAAAGGATCCTCATGCAAATACTTCTCAGCGTGCTTAGCGGGACACACTGGACATGGACTAAGGTCCACGCTAAAATCATGAAGTGAAAAAAAAGGTATTGCCCAAGGCAACGAGAGAGCTTGCAGAACCGCAGCTTTGGGTTTTCGGATCACTTTCTGAAGGAGTCACATGAACTTCTCGGAGACTTCTGAAAAGGCAAGAAAACGCATCTTCCTGGGGAAACAAACAGCGATAATTCAAAACACCTCACTCTGAGATAGATAAACTGAACGAAACCTTTGCTTGCGTACTTCCAAAGACAAAAGCATCCCAGCTCTCCAGAAGACTTGGCAGCCAAAATGCAGGTGAAATTCTGAAACCTGGATGTCTCCTGTTAAGTTTTCAGAAAGCTGTCTGAAAACAATGCCGTTTTGTTTCAGGGAGTAAATATAGTCTTAAAGTCTGGCTTCCATTAGGCAGAATTAAAAATACTGATCTCTACATTACAATGTAAATGTCTGATTACTTTTGGATTTTAATTCTTCTGCTTTTCCTAAAAAAAATCTTCATGGTTTTATATGATTTTAAAAGAATTTTTAAAAACCAGAGTTGCTCAGCATAGGTAGAATATACTGTCAAAACAGCTAATTTTACTAAAATTCTTGCACATTTAAATGTATTCTTCTTTGAACACCCCACCAAGAACAGAGGAGAGTCGTCGGTGGGATTCAAGATTGTCAACATTGATGCTCTTTCGTCAATGGAAACTGTATTAATAGCGCAGCTTCCACCTGACTTTGAAAGGATTATCCAAGAAAGGATATTGAAAACTTACCTTTTTGACTTCTTTACTTGATCTGAATGTCTGTGGAACAAAGGAGTCACTTTCAATAGCTTCAATTTCTTTTACTCGTTTCACTTGCTCTACCAGGGTGGCTTGGTCTACAAAGAGAAGGTGTAATGTCAGTATACATTAGCGTAAGCCTATGATAAATGCCGAGTCTATGCAATGCCTTGAATATATTGTGCAACAGTACATACCAGAAAAAAAACCCCTTGTAATGCAGCCTAAAATACTCTGTTACACTGAAAAGGTCTCTCCTTTAGTAAAAGTAACAACAGTGAGTTGGCTGTTATTGTTCAACATATGATATCATTCAAGATGTTAACTTAAGAATTTGCTAGAGATGTCCTCGCAGGATAACTGCTAGAATTATGGCATGAGGATTTCCTGGAGAAGTGAAGCATATGGAGGCAGTGCAGACAACTCAGTGGAGTACCATCTGTATCCGTATGTGGCAGTAAAACTACTCCTGCTTGTACGGAGGTGAATTTGGCTTCAGCTGCGGATGTCCCGAGAGATGTGCCATCATCTGTGTTCTCGTGGCAAGTTAAGCGATTAGTTTGGCATTAAGAGTTACATCATTAGGTGAATTTGACAAAAAAGAAATCTTAGAATCTGGTAATAAAATATTCCTAACGTACACACTAAATATGGTGTGCTCATACGATCCTCAGGTGGCGAAATTGCAGCTGTTTCATCAAATGAGCAAGACTGCTTCTTTATTGTACCGTGAGGTCTGACAGTGCACTTATATGTCACCAGATATTTTTGAATCCCAGGCTGAGATTTTATGTTGATGAAGCAAACGCAGCTCCCGGTGACATTACGGTGGAGAAGAGCAGCTCCTGCCCGCCTTGGTGTGAGCCACCCTAACCACGTAACTGGGGTGCTGTCAGGTAGGTTTGTGCTTGTTCTTTCCCTGCTCACCCAGACAATCTCCTGGATAGATTAGGCTGGTGGGAAGCTAAGAGCATTCATAATGCAAGATATACTTCTTTTTAAAAATCAAACTACTGATGGACGACAGTGACATTTCATATTACAGCTATGTTGATCTAACTGGCCAAAGGGATGGCCTGACTTCTCTCTCTCCCGTGCCCGGTGTGCAGTCTGGCATTACTCCTTTCGCCAAAAACGAAGTCATTACATCGGCTCACTTGTAAGGGGAAAGCTCCTACTTGGGCCCCAGTCCAACAAAACAGGACGTCGTCTCCGAAACTCTGCCGCCAGACTTACAACGCGGCACCAACACCACACACAGGCTGATCTGGTGCAAACTCTCTTCCAGCTCAAATTTGGTTTTAAAAGGTTTTGTACTGGTGGGCTTGATGTCAGAGCCGGTGCCTCTGCACCCGCCAGAGTTCAGGACGCTTCAGAATAAACTCCGACTGTTTGTCTGGACGGGATAGCTTGAAAGCACAACTGCCTCTGCCCCTGCCTCTGCGGGGCCGAGGGATCCGGTGCTGCGGAGGCGAGCTCACGAGGCACAGAACCGTGGTCTCCAGCCACAAAGGCAAAAGGAGATTGCCAAAAAGATGAGGAAAAAGCGACCTAGGATAAAACAGCGCTATTTTTTCAGGTATCTGAAGTTTGATCAAATATTTTATGAATACACAAGAATCCTTTAAACACTACATAAACCACAAATTTAAATAAAAGAGCAATTGTAATTACATATTTGCAGTACACACATATCTATGTATAAAAGATTACATTTCTTGTTCTAAAGAAACCGAAGTATATTTAAAGTCAGGAAAAGTGCGTTCAGACCAAAACAGCTTGCAGAATTATTCAGAAACTCAGAAGTATCAAATTCTTTCCCTGCATAGGAAACTCTAACCCCAAATTCATCCAGATATACGTGTACACTGCAAAAGACTTTCTATTTTGCACAAGAAAAAATAAATGCAACCTTACGTCCTTTCGCGATGACTAACCACTGAAAACTCATTTCAGACGATTAATGACAAGAAAGCGGAGCTTCAGACGAGCAAATAAACTAACGGGAGCTCAGAAATATTCCTGGAATGGCCACGGACGCACTAAAGGAACAACCCCCCTCTTTACCCACGGGCTGTACCCCAAAACTGGCTCCCGCGCCGGCCGGGCGGTGCGGCCGGCACAGCACAGCGCACCTGGCACCCGCGGACTTGCTCTGCTCTCCCTTTCAGCTGCTGCTGCTTCAGCTTCACAGCTCAGCTAATTTTCCTTACCTACCGCTACGTCTAACTGCAGCGACAAGCAAACCTTGAAGCCATTCGGCTAACTGCGTGCCTTCGGTTACGATTTTTACCAATTTAACTTCATCGTACTTACTTACGAATACCTTTTGCTTTATACAGAGCACGTTGGGGCCAGCCTGAAATGGTCAGGGCACTGTTATCGGGGAGTACTGGACAGTTTTTGCCCTGAGCAGTGTTTATAAAACAGGTAAGGCAGGCAAAAGAGAGGAAGAGATGTCACTTTCAAGCAGCAAACAAGAAGCTGCCTCATTGCTTAGAAATTATTTGGGAATATTGTTTAGTGTCTATGGATACGATGAACGGAGAAATTGGGAACACGCTATTTCTGCGTGTGTGGGATGTGCAGAAAGTCAAATACACCCATTGCTGGGTCCGGATAACGGCTTACAGCACTCTGACTGCTTCCGACAGCGAACGCCTACCTGAGGTTTCAATAACTTCACGGAAGCCACGCGCGAGGTTTGCACCGCGGCGGGAAACAGGCAGGGAGCAGGTGCTAAAACCTGCCGGGGGAAGAGGGGCAGGATGGATGGCGGTGCCGCAGGGTGCCCGCAGCGGAGGGAGGGTGACAACCGGGAGGGACAGGGTCCGAGATGCGCCGGATCCTTGCAAGGGTTTTGGGGAAGCCTCAGTAAAGCTTCAGCTTCGGCAAGGCTTAGGACAAGAGCTGCGCTACAGCAAAGTGCCTAAGTACGTCTTTAAGCCTGATGCTTTTCCATTTGGAAGGGAAAAAAAAAAGCACACTTGCTTACAATTAAGCTTGTGTTTAAAAGTTCTGTTGCCTTGCTGCTAAAGTCTTCTTTTTTAAAAGACTCCTAAGGATCCCATGGGAAGTATAAAACCAAATATACTAACGCTCTACTAGGGAGAGGAAAGCCTAATTCCTCAAGCGCCTGGGTACATGAGGTCTGAGGGCAAATAAAGGCACGGTAAGTGTACCTGGTAGTCACAGAATTAAAACCCAGTATCAGAGAAAGGCAGGTGAATGGAGATTTAAAATCAGTTGCTCAACTCCTGTTTCACAAAACCTACGGTCGGTTGTCAGCCTGTTAGAGTATCTCACATGAATCTTACACAAACCTATGGGAATGACAAATTATTAAGGGGGCAAAAATCACTCAATGTTTAGAATTACATCAGTGACATTAACTTGGGGAAAATGGACTGGAGGAAGCATAACCCATTAGCGTATGATTTTTTTGACAAACACATTATTGGTAGATAAAACGACTTCCATATGCTGTTTGTCAGATGTCAGTAGAAAGGATATGTATTTCATAGTAAAATCAAAAATAATGGAGTCAGAAAGCTAAGAGGCTACAGACAAAAAAAAAAAAATCAATACTAACTCATTGCACAGCAAGTCTTTTTTCCTGCGTTATAGTGAAAAAAATAAACTAAATCTTGTATTAGGGCTTGTTGAAGCCGGTTTTTATAAAAAGGCGATGCGAGCAGCAGCCCCAATTACCATTCCTGTCACCAGCTCTCTCCCGCTGACACTCGGCCCTGG